CGCAGCACCAGCAGTTTCAGAACCGCAGCCACAGAACCGGAAGTGAGGAGCACACCTTGCTTTTTCAGACCGATGAGCTTTGTAAAAATCGACGCGTTTCAAAAAGGCGGGGCATAGAGGAGAAACAATAATGTACAGTATGTGGAAAATAATGTGTTTTTTTTTACTTTAAACCGCATAAACACATTTCATTACACCAAATACACAAAATAATGTTCTTTTTAGCAGCATCATATGACCCCTTTAAACGTATGATAGCAAAAACATTACAGCCTACTCACTGTGCTCTCTCGTTGTCAATAACTCCGCCCCTCACTTCCGGTTCTGTGGCTGCGGTTCTGTGGCTGCGGTTCTGAAACTGCTGGTGCTGCGGGTCTGCAGCTGGATATATCTCAAATAATCACGCAGCAGCTCTTTGAGAGCCTGGCTCCTGCTTTCCTCCAGATCATCCATACACAGACTGCAGTTACAGTACGCAACGCTGCACACAAACACAACACATACACTCAGAGATGTGATTTCCTGAAGACAATAAAGGAGCATAAATGATTAGATGAGCTCAGTCATGGTGAGTGTGTGGGTCTGACCTGCGGAAGGTTTTGAGCTGGTACAGCTGTGTCCTCTCCTGTTCCATCACACGGCCGTGCAGAAACGCACAAACCGCGTCCAGCTCATCTGCCGTCAGGTCACCATAGGAGCGGAAATAGAAGGACAGCGCTGAGAACTCCACATGGACGCCGCTCCGTCCTGTGCCTCCATATGAACCTGACGATATACAGGATATAATGGAAAACAATAAATTACAGCATAAAACAACAGTATAGAATTAAACAGAACAGATGATCTATTTTGAAGTTATGCCATCTATCTTGTTATTTACTTGCTCCTACATGCACAAAAATCAAATACTTAAATCAACCAGATACTGTACAAACTACTGTTTGTTTTTCCTTTGCTCTACAGTTGTTTCTCCTTCAAATAAAAACAGAATACAACAGAATAGAATTAAACAGAATAAATAGAACAGAAAAGAACAAAATAGAATAGAAGAACGGAACAATACTACAAAATACAATACAATAATAAATAGAACACAACAATATAATAGAAAACAGAATAGAATACACCATAGAATAGAATAAAATACAACAGTACACAACATAATAAAATACAGGGTTTCTGCAGGTGTTATGAAGGGAAGCGTAACATTTTTTAAGACCAAGTAAAGACAATGTAAGGAATAAATCGAAGGGAACACAATATGTCAATATGTGCTCTAAATGTAAATATCTAGGCAGAACACAAGTTGTATTAGAAACAATTCAGAGTTTGAAAATGTAACTTCCAACCAATCTTCATTACTTTTTAATTCATTTTACAAAACAAAAGAGCTTATGGCTCTGCTCCCAAACACTAGAATATGAAAATAACTTTTACTGTACCTTCTGAACACACTGCAAAAAAAGTGATGTTCTTCCACAGTATTTTTGTCCTGTTTTCCAGCGGATATGCCTAAAGATACATTTACTGGAGATGCAAACTGACATTAAAAAAAGTGTTGTTTTCTGAAAAACTGATAAAAAAGTGAGTTTATATTAAAAAAAGAACAAATATCTGAAAAAAAATCAACTTGATTCAACAAGTTTTCATTCCTCTATTGACAGACATTGGTTCTTGTTTTAATTTTTCATGACTTAATTTTACATTTAGCATCTCCAATGTATCTTGTTCTATGAATATGCTTATTTTTATCGTTAAAAAAAAATCTGATTTTTTTTTTTTTTGCAATGCATGCAACATTCAATGCTATAAATGTATGTTTTTTTTTTTTTTTTACCTTTTAAGGTATTTACTTGTGGAAGGGTAAATTCAACCCTTTCTAAGATTTTAACCCTCTTGGTTTCCATTTTTAATTATTCATTAATCATTTATTAATCTTCTAATCAAATCTTTACTACTAGGATAAATTTTGGCCAAAAAACACCCACTTAGACAGGAAGCAACCATCTGACTGACATGTGAAGTGACCAATCTCAGTTTGTTTTTACATGACAACAGGGGGAGGTAAATTGATTAGTCGTTTTTAAGTCTGTTTGGTCCTTTTGGTGTGTAACATGCATCAGATGTTCAGCGAATCACATGGTCTCCTCTCACCTGTGTCTGAGACCCACTGCAGCTGTCTCAGGCCTCTCTTCACCAGAGGAAGCTGCCAGTCCATAGTGTCCGCCAGCTCCACCACATCAAACTCCAGAGTATCACATGACTCCACACGCTCCCCTGCCATGCGTTTGCGTGCCAGCGCCACAGCGACCGGAGGACATCTAACAACATACAAAATGACACAATCTGACACAAAAAAACACACTGATGAGCTTCTAAAAGCATCGAAAGCTACTCAAGACTGTGAAAGTGTAATTTGATGAGTTTGCGGAGTTGTTGCGGACCGCCGCAGCTTACAGATGGAGAGCGTCGGATGAAGAAGCTCCACCCACTGCTGAGGATGAGTCTCCAGACCTAAAGTGAGTGAGTGAGTGAAGTGACATGTGGCCAAGTATGGTGGTGACCCATACTCTGCATTTATCCCATCCAAAGTGCACACACACACACAGCAGTGGAGCAGTTGGGGGTTCGGTGCCTTGCTCAAGGGCACCTCAGTCGTGGTATTGAAGGTGGGAGAGAGAGCTGTACATTCACTCCCCCCACCTACAATCCCTGCCGGTACGAGACTCGAACCCGCAACCTTTGGGTTACGAGTCCGACTCGCTAACCATTAGGCCGCGACTTCTCCAAGCACATGACTTGGGGAGTCGCGACTTCCCCTAAAACACACAGACGCAAATAATGAGCTATCATTTTGTGTCAAATATAGAATTGAATTAAAGAAGACGCCACAGTTCACCCCAGGGTTATTATTGATAACTAAAACTAAAAGTATTACATTTTAAACTTACTTTGTTTCAGTTGCCAAGGCAAAATTTCAAATTTTCATTTAATTTAAGCTGAAATACTATAATTCTTAAAATCTGAGGGGTAAATATATTAGGTGAAAGAGGTTCAGATGACAAAAAAGCTTGGGAATCCCTGTATTACACGTAAATAAGAAATAAAGTGAATTTGTGCACTTTAATGTGTTTATAAGACAAAAGCCTTCCAAAGACATGGTTAAATAACTCACTGAGTGATAATTCAAATATAAATGAATGTGTTCATCAGTAGTTGATGCAATGTTGAAATGCTGTGAAAATTAAAATGATTATTGTAGCATTTGGACCAATCAGACACACATTTGTTCATTAGATTTAACAAATCAATTATTCATTAGATTAACAAGCAATCACAGACCCCTCACCCAATAAACATACTGGGTACCAGCATGTCTGGGAACGACCCCAGGCCCCTGGTTACCATGGCAACCAGGACCCCTCAGCCAGATCAGATATACTTTTACGACCTAAAAGTATGTATAGAGAAAATCAACTCTTACTCAAGTCTCTCTAAGAGAGACCCATAATGCCCATAAAAATTGACTCTTCTCTAATTAATTCATAGGAAAACCTTTCTTTGAATGAACACACATCTCCTCAGGACATTGTGTATACCATTACTGTTCTTGTA